GGGGGGGGGGGGGGTCTTATTTAGGGGAACAAGGTTCTAGAAAGCAAAATGACTGGTCGGGTTGTTACAATAAGTGTAAGATAATTATTCGGGATCTAACTCTATATAATTCACTTTCAATGATCAAGTGAGTCTCTCGAATTCACTATATTATTAGTTCAAAACATTCAGTAAAAACTACTCTCTCGATTAAATCTTAACCTTACGAGATTAACCAATTTAAGTACTGTGAAGATATGCAAGAATGCGTAGTGGATCAGTCTTTAGAAAAACCTCTTTCGATTATTCTCCTAACTAGATTTAATCAATGATTCAACTAGCCTCTTTCGATTACTTAGAAGAATCTATGAACTCAACCAACAATATAATGCAAAGATATCACAAGTTATGCCTCTTTCGATTACAAGAACAAGTGAATATAGATACAACAATTAAATCTTCCAAAAACGATTCAAATACATAAAAATAGAATTATAATCACAAACAATCATCAATACACTAAATCTATCAAAACCCAAAAGGAACTACTCCATAGACATGGAGAGGTTCTTCACAAATATAACTAAAGTATAGAAAAATATAAATTCAATCAAAACCCGGATCATGCGTGAGGAAGGAATGATGAAATTCTTGTGCTTCTATTCTCCCAACTCCTCCTTAGCCTCGTTAGGTTAAAAATCTGTCAAAAGTCCATCTAAAATGGTATTTTGGTGTATTTACTCCGCCCCCAAAATAAACCCCGGACGAAACTACCCTTTTTAGCAGAAATGAGAAGTCGCTCTAACATTTTTAAGCTATCGTGTCGCGCCCCGCGTCGCCCCATGCGTCGCGCATGTAGGAAATTCCAGAAAATTTTAAAAACTCATTTCTGGCCACTTTTTGCACTAGCGCCCCGCTGGGCGGTAGTGCAAATCTCTCAGAGTGAATTCGTTTTCTCATTTTAGATATCCAGACTTGGTTTTCGACCCCCGAATGTGATCCCGACTTAATTTCTTGGCTTTTACTTAGACTTCAAAGCTCCAAATAGCTCAAATTAGCTTCACAACTTCTATATAACTCGGAATCACTCCTACAAGGCATAAAACACACAAAAGTACAAAAACACTACCATTTAAAGCTCAACACAAGTAAAGTGAAGTGAATTAGAGTGCAATAAGCGACCAAAACACGAGATTATAGCCTACCATCAAGCACGTGATAGGTGATGTGTGAATTCCGAAGTCATGGGAATCGATAGAAAATATTTGAAGGGAGGATATTGGATAGCATTCAATGAGCACCCATTATAAAAAGTCTTCGTATTAATAGTTAATCGTTATGCAGCCATCAATGGCGATTTTATTCTCATTCAAGAGGAGCTTGATTTGAGGATCTTGTCTCCCTCAATAAAGCTATAAGTAGGAGAATTAGTATTCATTGTGAGGACAAGATGATTAGTATTCATTGTGAGGAAAAGAAAAATCATCTGTACACAATGGTCATATTCTGCTCTCAAATTATAAAATTACTTTCTTCTTTTGTTCTTAAGTTTGTTCATATTATTGCTTCCGGGAAGGTTTATCGTACAATCAGGCTTGTATTTCTTTTAAGCTATTTTCATAATCTCGATTTTATTCTTACTTATTTCGTATTCTTTGGATTAAATTAATTCACGTGTTTATAAACCACATTACAAATTCAACTGTATTATTTTACGGATAAACACATATCTCGATCGGTGCAAACAAAAGCATTTGGCTATTGCTTTCGTACGCCAAAATTTGGGTTGATAAAGTTACCCGATATCTATTCCGGTAGAATTAATTAAAGTGCACGCAACCTGACCATCGTTATAAAAAGATTGCAATGCCAATGTCTTTGTTATGCTATAGTTGTCGAACGATTAAGTATTTAGAGAGTGATTGGATTGTAAAATAGGGGAGTATTAAAAATAGAAGACAAATAAAACTTGGAGGATAAATGACTAAAGAAGATATATTAAGTTGTGAATGATATTATATGAGGGAGACAAAAACATGAAGCTTGTGAACGTAGATGAAACTGTTACATTTTGTACCACAGGAATTGTAAGCATTAAATTATTGGTTAGTTGTAGGGACATTAATTCAGCCATAATATTGCTGATTAGACAAAGGAAATTTCCAGCTGCTACAGTCCAATAACGTCACTCTCTCTGCCGTGAGCATGAACAATGTTACTAAGCGGCGAAGTCAGAAAATTTAATAAGGGTGTTCAAATTTTGAACATCTTTTGTTATTGAGTTATGCAAAAATGTTCAAAATCTATTTTTCAATCAATAACAAGTAATATTTAACCTTATACGTAGTATAACTTTTCGACGAAGAACCAACATAGCTTCGCCCCTAAATACTCAATGGTGATGGAGTTAGAATTTTTACTAAGAAAATTTAAAATATTAAAAAGTAAACACATAACATGCCAAGGGAATTCAATATCTATTAATTATATATAAAAAATAATTTTAAGCTTATATATATAATATAAATTTTGGCAAAGAAGGTTCGAATGAATTCCCCACCACCCTATATATATNTCCCATGAGGTACATTCATTTATATAATAATATCACGAATTTAAATTCCAAAGACCTCTAGAGTAGGGGCCGAAGTAGTGTAAAAGTTATGAGATTATGAGAACTTAGTAAACTTAGTTCAAACTTTGTATACGTGTCTAAAATCCACTAAGCAAATACAAATACATTATTTAGATCCTTTTGATATTAATTCCAATTAGTAAAGGGCAACACGTTGCATAAGGTATATCGCGTTGATGCAAGATCCGGGGAAAGACCGTATCTAAGGGGTGTGATGCAAATAGGCTAGCATAAGAGAAGCATTACTATTGCTTCTACGGCTCGAACTCGTGACCTATAAGTAGGGGTGTCAATGGTTCGGTTCGGTCGGCTATTTTATAAAATTTGTACCATACCAATTTTTCGGTTATTTTATTATGTATAACCAAAATTAGACTTTTAAAAATTGTACCAATCATGTTAGTTTCTCTTCGATATCGGTACGGTTCGGTTAATTTTCGGTATTTTTTTAAATGTCATTCAAAAGTCACTAGTAGAAACAGAATACAATAACATACGTACTTTTATAGAACTTAGCAAAACTCTCTAGATATTTTTACTATTTAAATGGTGATGAATTAAGGGGAAAAAACTAAGCAAAGATAAAGAAAAAATAAATCACACGAGTGGAAAGATATTAAGCAAGCTGAAACTCAAGAATAAAGTCTATAGAAGATTAAATATTCAAAAATATAAATTTAAACTATACGAAAGGAAACATATTCAATACATTGTAATTTACTACTCATAATCGCTAGAATACTCTGTGTCTCGCCATTGAATATGTTGGAAATAATTTAGTTTCAATGGGAGTAGTATAATAGGTTTGAGAATTAGGATTTTGAGTTTAATTACTTGTTGGCTTGTAATCATTTTAATAATTTCAAGGCCCAAGGAAAATTTAATGACTTTGTTGTTTTTAAATTTAATACATAAATATATTTTTTTCATATCAATTTATTGGGTACGGTTCGGTATTTTTACGATTTATTTTCATAAAATAAAAAACCTACTCTAATTATCGGTACGGTTATAAATTTATATAAAAACTCACGATTTTATTTAAAAAAAACTTAAAAATTAATTCGATACGGTAGGATTCGATCGATTTAGTCGGTTTTTACATATGAATCGATACCCTACAAGTCACAATGATAAATTTACTGCAATTAATAATAGTTACGTATAGAAAATGGAGAAGCCGTACACACGTGCCGCGTCACGTACACGTATTCCTCCAAACGCACCGATTAAAATAGGAAGTTGAAGGCGCCCTTTCGTATCATTAAATAACGGTTTTTGCACTTTTGCACTACAGATTACTACAGAAAACGAAACATATAGACATTATCATCAACATTTTGCACTCCAAAATTGTAAATCATACCATTTCTTCTCTCCATTTTTTCCTCATTTCTTTTCTGGGGTTTCTCTTCCTTTTCAGTTTTTACAATCTATATAACTCTTAGTATTACAAATAAAGACTTAATTTTATAATACATATTTTTCCCCCATTGAAAAATATGGTGGTTATGGTTTCACGTACTGGCCGGCATTTGCAGCGTTATAACAAAGGTCGTCGCCAAGTTGTTGGGTATGTTAATTCAAAAATTACTCTTTATGTTTAATTTATTTGATGCTCTTTCCTATTTTTATGTATAGAATCAATTTAACTTTAAATTTCTTATGATCGCCCAAATGTCTGTGATTTAATTTGTTTTAGACTATAAATTCTTCTTTTTTGCTTTAAAATTTTGTGGTTTAGTCCACATTTGGGCCTCTGGAGCAACTGAGATTAGAACTGTGTTTCTACGGGTGAATTTTGGAATTAGACTCTTAAAAAAGCTCGAATTTTGGAACTAGCCTCTCTAGTGAGAAGTTCTTGAGCGAGGAGTTGAGGCTGTACATTTGTCTTCCCCCGAGTCCCTTTAGGCCGGGAGCCTTCTAGCACTCGGGGTGGACGTAGTTAAGGACTTACCATCCGAACCTGGTAACTTTGGCTCAGATCACGTATTTGTTAAACATTCACGAAATAAGTATAAATGGAAGAGTTTGAACCTAATAAATCAGGTGAGTTGGGTAGAACTCCAAACTCGAATCTATAATGTTCAAATCTTGAATTTGAACTCTGCTAGCACTAGATTCGTCTTTATCGATGTATTTTTTCGACGTCTTTATTAATGTAGACCATGAGTTTCTTTTTACCTAAAATTTTGGTTTGAGAGGTGGGGGGAAAGAGGGTGTAATGATTAATGAAGAGTTGACTTCTAGGATGAACAAAATGATAGAGAATCAACGGTCCATTTCACTTTGCAATTACTAGAACAGCTTCAATTTTCAGCCTTTGGTTCTGAAGTGGGAGTGTGGTAGTGGTGCATCATCAAGATTCTAGAGGGTGTTTGACTAAGTTGCTCGCAGGTGCGGGTATCCAACACGGGCATGGATCCCAGTGTCGGATTTGGCAAAATTTAAATTTTAAGATTCGGGAATATGGATCCAGCTATAGATACGGGTGCGGAAATTCGGCTAAGAAAATTCAAATTTATAAAAAATAGAACTTTAAAGATATTATAAATTTTAAGAGATATTCTATGAAAAACCCTTAATCTATATCGCGTTACTATCTACTAGAAGTCCGAATTCACAACACGACCCCTTGAATTTTTTGTTTTTTCTGAAACACAAACAGCAAATATGAGAAAAAAGTAATACAATATTGAAGGTATGCATTTCCCATGTCTTAAATCTGTTTTAATTTTAATTTTGAGAAATCAAAATCTCAATCCCCCTCCCCCTCCCCCTCCCCCAAATTTGTCGATAGACTCAGGTAAAAGTATCCGAAGTTAGTTGACCGAATCCAGGACGTATCCCGCATCCGTCCCATGTCAAGACGGGTGCGGCACCAAAAACAAAGAGTCCACGCAACTTAGGTGCTTGAAGTTATTTTGTTTGTGTGCAAAATGGATTGATTCACAAATTTGAGTTTTTGAAATAATTACTTGTTTGCTGCTTCTCAATTTACTGGCATCTGAAAACTAAGTTTTGTGTTTTTCGAAAATGGACTTGAGGTGAACTGTTTCAGATTTGACATTTTCCAAAAGATTGATAAAAATAAACAACTGGTTAACATTCTTTTTCCACTTCTATATCTTATCAAATGGAGCTCATTTTGACATTTTCTTCTTCAATTTGTGTATTATTGTGTGTTAGGTGTTTATTTTTCTTTTGGATGTTTCTATTAGCTTGAAGAAGTCAATACATGTGCTCTTGGCATTTTGTTCACCTTATCACATGCTTTGTTTTTCTCTGGGAAAAGGACCATTTTTTCCTCATATTTAATTGAAGGAGATGAAGTTTCAGACGTGACAAAATGGTTAAAAGAAAACAGTTAACCACCTATCAACTAAAAAATGGGTTGGATAATGAACCTTTTGAAAAGGAGACAAATATGGATAAGAACCATATTATCCATTTAGAAAATGGATAACCAATTGATAACTTATGATTTAACTTTTACATTTATAAAGCCTCAAATTGGTGGTCCTCAAGTTTGTGAGAGTAAGAATTCTCCCAAAAGTGATCATATTCAAGAAATCATGGATAATATGGACCCGTTTTTTATCCGTATTAAATACGAGTCGGGTCGGGTAATTTATTCATTTTTTCATTACAAGTTTTCGACACATCCTATATCCGACCTGACCCGTCGTTTGCCACCCCTACATGTGACCAAGAGGTCACAGGTTCGAACCGTGGAAATAGCCTCTTGCAAAAATGCAGGATAAGGCTACGTACAATAGACCCTTGTGGTCCAGTCCTTTCACGGACCCTGCGCATAGCGAGAGTTTAGTGTGTCGGACTTAAACTACATGCTTTACAATATTTCTTCATATCAGAATGAGTTTTGGATTTGGTAACTTCATCATTACGCTTATGTTGTCCTGAGATGAGTTTGATGTCTTCTGCAGATGTATACCGTACAGATATAAAGATATTATTGACCTATCTATGGCAGACAAAGATGCATTTGAAGTTCTTCTCATAAGTCCTCAGAGAAAAGGAAAAGGATTGTTGTTTCCAAAGGTAGCAACAGAACTATGGTTTTCAAACTTAATGATGTTTTATTCTCTAAGCTCTATTAGATTGATTTGTTTGTTTTGTTTACAAATTTTGCTCTTATTATGCAGGGAGGTTGGGAAAAGGATGAAACAATTGAAGATGCAGCAAGACGCGAGACAATAGAGGAAGCTGGTGTTTGCGGCGATGTTGAGGTTAGTTTTTAACAGCGATCCGTTTTAGTTAAGTGCTTATAAGCAAAATGGTATTTGGTTATATGGTTGCGATAAGATATGAAAGAGTATTGGCTTTGGTTAAGAGTTGACTGCTATGGACGTTTCAAATGGCTGATATATATTAACAAACGCAGTATAATCTCACAAGTGGAGTCTGGGATATGTCAATAAGAATTAGATTATGAAGCCGAAAGCCTTTTGAAAGTTCTTTCCTTTACAGCTTTTCACTACTAATCCTGAATTTTGAGTTAGTTTCTTTTAAATACTATTTTCTTATTTGCCAAATCATTGGTAACAAGTCAACTTAGTACGCTTAGGGTGAAAAAATCTTTAAAAACAGTATAGTTTTAACAAAGAACTATCGAGGGTTCGAATCCCTTTCTCTCCTTTTGACTAATTGAATAGATTTTGTTTTTAGTGATTTCGTCCAACCTGCTATCCAAAAGAAAAGGAATGGCTCGGCTATCCCACCTAGCCAAGCCAGAAAAATAGATTAGATTATTTCTTTCCTCACAAGGGTTGACCTCGCCACTGCTTTTTTTCTTGTTGATCTTCAATCTTGTTGGCCTTTGGTCTTGATAAAGCTTTAATGTCTACATTTAGGTCGTTATATGTAGTCCTAACAAGTTTCCTTTGGGTTGAAAACCTTATTGCAGGGAAAATTAGGAATTTGGTACTTTGAGAACAAAAACGGCGATACGGCCTATGAAGGGCACATGTTTCCTTTATTTGTAACTGAGGAGCTAGATACTTGGCCTGAGAAAGACATCCGCAAAAGATTATGGGTATGCACCTGCCCATACTCTATAAATTTCCATATAAACTATATCACATGATCGTTTTAAAGGGCAGCCCGATACACTAAACTCTCGCTTTGCGCGGTGTTCGGAAAGGGCCGGACTATAAGGGTCTATTGTATGCCTTACCCTGCATTTCTCTACAAGAGGTTGTTTCTACTGCTCGAACCAGTAACCTTCTGGTCACATGGCAACAACTTTACCAGTTACGCCAAGGCTCCCTTCATCACATAATCGTCTTTGCTTACTAATTTTCCAAACATCAATTTTGCAGATGAGCGTGCGAGAAGCAAGAAAGCTCTGCCAACATGGGTGGATGAAAGAAGCATTAGAGTTGTTAGTTAGTCGACTCACGTCACAAAGTAGGCGGACTAAAGTCGATTTATTTTCAAGAATCAATCGTAGCTCCAGTGGCCATGGAAGTGTTTTGCATTTGGGATGCAGGGCTCAAGTACTTACTCCACCACCACCAAGTCCTGCGGAAGAGGCCTAGTTTCCACCAGCCTAACAGAGGAGGTTAAAATTTTACGACGGAGGTAAAAAGTAGCTTGTAAATAGGAAATCGATGATGAGCCCCTAATGGTATGGTCTAGTGGTAAGAGCGTAGCACGTGATGTGTAGAATAGGTGCACGTCATGTTTTTCAACCCTGCCACAGATAAAAGCCTAATATTTAAGTGGATAAGAGTAGAAGGACGACCTCATTATCCACCGAGTTTCAAACCATGCACCACAGGTCCTCGGGGATTTTTTCTATTTACCAAAAACTAGGAAAGCAATGGTGATGGCTGATAGAGTAAGTTAGAGCAATCTGTTTTAGCTCTACTCCAACTTTCAAGAAAACAGAAACATAGAGATAACCATGGAAGTATTTAGTTTTTTGTCTTGTTTTGTTTTCTCCGAATTGGAGTTATGTAAATGCTGATAGACTTACAATCTCACTGTCTTTTTTAGGAACTTTACCTTTGTATAGGTACTCTGTAATGAGTGCCTGAAGATGGTGAAGTTACCTTTACGTTTTAATGTCTTTAAAAGATCCGAATCTCGAGGTTTAATTTTTCCAATAGAACTATATATATACACAAATTTGGGCTATCTAAATATGGTTGTGGTTTAATTTTTAAATAAGTATATTTTACCAAAAAGCCTTTCATTTTCTTGTGGTTTAAAGATAGTTCGAGTTTTATCCGCTGCTGATGATGTAAAAAATAATTTACACAGACGAGTCATATAAAATATAACTTCACGTACGTATAGGTTGATAAGTAGAAATTTCATCTCTGGACAGAAAAGTAAGAAACACCAACATGACGGGTTTGGTGGATTCAATTGAACTCATCGTTTTCTATCAAAATTATATATAAAAATTTCAAATGTATACAGATAACAAATCACATTGCCCTTCCTTCCTTCCTCACTCCCCCCCCCCCCACACACACACACACACTCTCTTATCTCAATTATAGTCAGACTCGTATGAACACCATCAGTAACCAATCAATCCACCAGAGTTGACCAAACTTTGTTGTAACCAATTGCCAGTTTCCCCGGAATATATTGGATATTCTAAAGAAGGTTTAGTTTGGGATTTCACTTCCTTTCTGTAAATTTAGGACATAAAATGATAGTTTTAACACCGTATATTCTGTATATGCAAAAAAAAAAAACTTCAACACAATGAATATGAAACTATTTCATTGGCACCTAGCATACACTCACCTAATTATATGTTAATTTTTCGGATGCTTCGTCCTCGTTTGTTAGAGAATCACAAAAAACATAAAGGGCAACACCCTTTTAAGATTGCTTGTGGAGCAAAGCACATGCAATCCGGGCACAAGACATCCAGCGTTCACACAGGGTCCAAAAAAGAACTGCACTCCAAGGGGTGTGATATAGACAACCAACCTTAATGCAAGCATTAGGGGCTACTTCCACCTTGTAGAACAAGACAAGAACTCAAATTTAACAGGCTCCACATTTGGTCATAGATTCACGTAAATACTACTAGCTGAATAGCTGTTCAAACTTTAGTATTGGAAAGATCATGGTCAACTCTCCTAATGCAGGTTGATTCCATACTTATTTTAGTCCTTGTAATTCAGCTATCTTGATACCATTTCTTGAATTAGTATATAGACAGAAAAATAAAAGTTCCAATTAATCTTACACAACCTAGTTCAGTTCTTTCACCAACAACGTCAAGCAACTCATACAATTTTAAAATCAGGAGTGTTCAATCCTATTCTCAGCTCCTTTGAGCTCTATCCTTAGGAATTATATACCGGGGGGGAATGTAGCATACAGATACCAGGTTCATCTGAACCTGGTATTTTCAATGTAAAGTATAAATTTATGCGTAAAAAATCACTAAAATAACAATAAATAATATATTTTTTTTGATAAGGAACAATAAATAATATATATGAACCCATAACTTTAAAAATATAATGAATTCAATGCTAAAACATTAAAGCTTGAATTCATAGACCTTAAATGAGGTAAGCATAGTTAATCCTCAGAAACTCCTTTTTGTAAGCATAGTTAAACCCTTCTCTACACCTTGAGACCTCACTCTGACCCCTAGCAAGTCAGGATTACCCTAGCGGTTCGCATAAGGCTACAGATGGTGGGTTTCAAAGTAAAGAGGTTAAACGATGTGATTGTGAAGAAGGGTGCAGATGTCTCCGGGAGCCACTCTCAAAGAAAAAAATGAAGGTAAGCAACAATTAGAGGAGTTGTGGCAATGAGTTGGGGTGGGGGGTTGCCATCCTTAAATAGGATCTCCACCATAAAGAGGGCCAACTAGCTTGGTATGAAAAACATAACTAGTAAATGTGTTATGCACAACGAGAGAGAAGTTAAAATTAGAAGTAAACTATAACTGAACACTACTAAATATCAAACAGTATCAAGCCCAATTGTGTCAAACACCAGCAAAAGAAGCTCCCAGCAAAAACCAAAGAGAACAGAGTACACCATAAAAGGTAACTGGTTAAATCTGTTGACATACAGGTCAAGTAAAGACTCACGAGAAAAATAAGAAATGCAAAAGAATAACCATGAGTACAAGTAACCATGCTCACCTCATCATTCAAAAAGACAATGAACGGACCATTAGGATATTTCAAGTCTTTAGAGTACTAAAGATTATGATATCATTCAAGGAAAGACGTGTATGATTATCTTGCATGCACATCGACTAACCTCCGGGTAGCCTGCTATGACGCCACAAGCAAAGGTGGCAGGTAATCCTGTCCACCAAGCCTGGAGCATATAAACTCGCTGACAAAGTGAGCGTTGTACATGGGAATCAAACCTGGGATCTCACTCTTGTATCTCAATCACAATCATCCCCTTCTGAAAACATTTATGTTTATTTCTTTTTTCCACTTCCTTCATTTATTTAGGACAAATAATTTTAGTGAAGTTATCAATTTGGAAATTTCGTTGTCAACAAAAAGGTAACCAGTCCAGTTACAGATACAGACAAGTTAGTCAATATCTTGGATCCAAATATCTACCAACACACACAACAATCAAGAACCTTACTAAGATTATATTCCATTCAGCATTTCTGCAACTTGTGCTACTATCTATACCCTCCACAACATCAATTAACATACTTTTACATTGATGAAGAAATAAAGTTTCAACTATTAATTATGTGTCGGTTTTTTCCTTTTTTTAATCTTTTCATCTAACTCAATTATTCAGCGAAGATGTTAAAAGCTCAATATTTCAACTTCTGTCCTGCAGCTCCATAGCTCTAAATGCATAACTTAAAGAGTGAGAAACTAACACAAAGAAGCTGAGAAATGCAAAATAAACCATCAAAAGGAAGCCAAGTAAGTTTCGGTAGGGGTACATACAATTTTTGGCTAATTCCAGAGTAGTCAAAAGCGCAAAAGTCTCTTGGAGCTTTAAGTGCAAAGCATTATATAAATGTGGTTTAGCAAAGAAAAGCGCCAATAAAGAAAAAATGGAAAATAGAAATGTAATGCAAGAAAATGTAAATATAAGCAAAAGCAATATTAATTTGGACAAAAGAATAGATAAACTATAATTAAGCTATGTATATGTTGTTGTGCCCTTAACGACACCACGCTTTAGCACAACGCCTACACTAAAGCCCAACTAAGTGAGGCAAAGCGCACAATCTGAGCTTCAAGAGCTTCAAGGCTTAAGCACACTTTTAAGTAGCTTTTAACAACATTGGCTAATTCTCGAGTTTTTTTGTTTTAATCTCACTCTAAGTGATCATACACATGAAGGGGAACCTTGGAGCAAAGGTAAGGTTGTCTGCATGTGCATGTGACCTATAGGTCACGAGTTCGAGCCATGGAAGCAGTCACTGATGCTTGTATTAGAATAGTCTACATCATACCCCTTAGGGTGCGGCCCTTCCCCGGACCTTGAGTGAACGCGGGATGCCTTGTGTACCGGGCTGCCCTTTTTTTCTAAGTGATCATACACGGTATATTGAGGAGAATGCACACAATATAAAAAGAAATCCAAGACGCATTGCGCGTTCAGTTATAAATTCCACATATATCCTTCAATTAGATAAACCTCCAGCATGAATCAACAAGATCATGCAGCAATTAACAAACAAATCAAACAAGCACTAGCTAATTGTATAATTAGCGAAATCCCAATATCAGCACAATATAACCCAACCTATTGAGGATTTCACCAAGTCGTATAACATTATTACTAGTAATTAACGATCAAAGCAGTACAACAGAAACACAGTTCACTAAATATATAACTAGCACCAAAAAAAGTGGAGCCGACCCGATCCGAAACGAAAAGCACAAAACCTGAAACCCGATCCAATCGGCAAACGAATCATTCAGCTCAATCCTAATCCTGAGCCTTCAACTTCTCCACGCGCTTATTCAACTGCTCAACTTTAACAACAAGGCCAGTAACAGAGTACAAAAGCCAGTAGAAAACGATCGCACACGCGATGAGGAGCGCGTTGCGCTGAGACTTCATGATTGATTTCTGATGACGTAGGTGTTCAGATGGGGAACAAGATTCGTGTGATTCGCAACTGGGTCGGGTCTCGTACTTCCAGTAGATATCCATTAATAAGAACAAGCAAAAAGGTACGATCGAGAGGAAAGGTTTGAGGAGATTACGGGTCACGGTGATGAGGCCTTTACGGAGCGGGTCAAGACCCGGAATTGTTAGGAGAAGGAGCATGATTGCTTCTGCACCCGCGGCGTAGCCGAGAACAACCCATTCCAACGCCATTGATGTTTGAGGGGAGAGAGGAAAATTGAAGGAGATTGTTTTTCAAGAGAAAATGTACATAGGCTTCGAATAAAAGGAAAGTGAAGACTTGAAGAGTGGTTTAATTACAAAGGAAGGAAGGTATTAATTTAGAAGTAGGATATGGGCTGAGATTTGCTTGGACCAGATTGGCTAAGCCCAAACTTCAAGTTTCAAAATGACATCACCTAGCCACTCTAGTCTCTAAAAGGCTGCTATTTAGGAATTAGTCAATATATCTTGAATTTTAATTTTCCATTTCAATTTTTCGGGACACAGATATCCTGAATTATCCTGAAGTTAAGATTTTTAATTCAAATTTTCTGGATAAAATAAGTACTAATCAATCCTTAAATAACAATCTTAAGAATGATTGTTTGTGCATTTTCCCTATTAACCAAGGAGTTAATTTGTTCGGACACATTAATTAAGAGAAATTAACCTAAAAATCCTCCCACTCAAAAAAAGAAGGGAGATATATAATATATATATATATATATGTTTGTAATCGTGTATAATTTATATATTATAAATATATTTGATCGAGCCACCATTAATTAAAATAAAAGTAAAAATTCTATGAAATTTAGTGATAGTATTAAAGATCCCTACACTTTCAATATATCTAGTTTAAACCCATTAATTAATCGTTTATAGGGCACTGCCACCATACGGCAGAATTAACCCAAATAAAAAATCGTTTACACTTTACACCTCAATTAGAAAATATTGGAGTAGGCTGTATGAATCATATAAATCTACCATAATTATGTTCATTATATATTCATTAGAATCATTATAGTTAAACTATTTCTACTAAGGCATTTAATATTTCAATATCCTTCTTAATGCAAGTTACTATCATAAGGTAAAGCTAGTTATTTATTTTAACAAAATTGGGCTGAATTAAGATGGTATGTTTAGATACATCATTTTCATTTGTTGTATCAAATTTTGAGTTAAATTGATTAAAAATAAAATAAAAACTTATATTTCTTCTAGAGTAAGAAAATGCCAAGCACTAACATTTGTATTCAAACTTGTTTAATTATGCCTTCTTCTTTGACAATGTGAATACATGGACCATTGCAAAGCCTAGACTTAACAACTAAGAAAGGTGCGTCGTCATTTATTGAATCGACTCTTAGCTTAGTCTAGAAAGTGTAACGAGGGCATTCAATTCATTCACATTACTCTCTTATGGCTAGACCAACCACAAATTCATCTAACTATGATCACTCTAGAGTAGAGAGCGGACCCAAGATTTGAAAGTGGCAGGAACATCATTATCGAATAAAATTTTAAGCAAATTAAAGTGAATCAATTTAAGACAGAACACTATAAGTTGTCCCCCTAAATCGACCAATGTCTTAAGTTTTGAGTCTTAAGATTTCAATAAAAATATATATTTAGTATTTCAAATATATGTTCATATATTAATTCCGTTATTCTCAATCCGCTTATGCCTTATGGATGAAAAATCCAGTAATATTCAGTTTTACATGCAATGAGCCACATAAATCATAATTATTAAAAAAAAAACCAAAAACTTATTAATGTCAATACTATAAATTTTTGTATTATAATTCCAACATATTTTGGGGGAGAGCATTGCCCCGTTCCCCAATGTTTGGAGCAAACGGGCGTATAGCCCTGCCTTGCCATTGGATCTCTTCTTTTGTAGGATTAGGAACAGCAATGACAACCTCTTAATTGTCATCATCTGGCCTCTTTTGCTACACCTCGTGTAGTCGGGACCGATCATATTCGGGTGATTATCAGAAGCAGTGGCGGAGCCACCTTATAGAAAGGGGTGTTCGCGGGAAAAATACACTGTATAGATAGGTAAAAAGATGAGTGTTATTAAAAGAATAAGATCACAAATAGAATTAAACAAAACAACGTTACCAAAAACATAATATTCTAGATATAACCAAGAACCTATAATCAAGACAAATGACATTTCAACAAGATCAATGGTTTAGTATATTGTAGTGTAAAATTAGGAAAGAAAAAAGGGATGATAGAAATTGAAATGCATTAACTTAGATACAAAAACTTTGATTGTTCTACAACAACTTTGTTACATTATCAAATTCCATAACACAACCTACACAAAACACATCCTTATTTCCATTGTTCCATAGCCAAGATTTTACAACTTGCTGGTAATATTTATGTTCCTAACTTTAGATGGTTTTGGAGTAGCATCTTTTGGTACAACAATGGTGAGAACACCATTCTTAACTTGAGCTTTGATTTGATCCACCTTCACATCTTCTGGCAGCTCAATTTCCCTTGAGAAATCTCCCTTTCCTCCGCCTCTCTCCGCCCCATGCCACACTATCTCCTCTTTTCCGTGGAATTCGTCCTTTTTGCCGCCACCCTCCGCCTTCACTACTAGTACATTCCCATCTTCGACTTGCACCTTTATGTCCTTCTTGTTATACCCTGTCAAATTCATTCCACAACTGTGCATAAACCCCCTTTCAACGATTGCATCCTAAACGAAATCAGGGGTGGATCTGTAGTACAACAATTACTATCGGTGGCAAAGCCACAAAATTCAATAAGAATGTTCAAAGTCTATTTTTTAAACAATAACAAATAATATTTTACCCTATAAACGGTACAATCTTGGGATGAAAGGTGTTCAACTCATCACTCTGGGTCACATATACATTTCAATCTTAAAGTTGCGATTGATTATATGATCTATCACTCATCCTATTTTGTCTCTCCTTTAGCCCTATGCCTCTCATTCCTAGGCGATCTTCCTCAAATTACTAGTTTTGTTTTTCCAGAAAACTCTACTTAATTATGTGAATGGCAGACAATGTTATATTTATTGAGGTATGTTTTTAAGATCAAACAATTTTACTGAATTGAGTATGGTTGTCTATGTAATTACATCTACTAAAATATCAATCAACTCGATTAACACAATTGGTTATGACAATTTCTATTTACAGTAGTTTCAAACAAAAGCAAATAAATGTTGATTTTGAATAACATCTATGTAATAACATCTACAATACCTGGGACATTGATTTTGAAGATATGAGAATTAGGGGATTCAAACCAATCCAGAAGAGCAGCAGAACCAGAAGAGCTGCGGTAAATTGTGGGACTCAATAAGAATTGTCTGAAAGGATCACCAAAAAGCGCCATTTCTACACCTTTTTTTTTCTTCTACTTCTCTGCGTATTTTTTAATTTTTTTCTTAATCTGTTGTGTACTTTGAGGATAAGAGCGTTATAAATATGTTGGAGATTTAATGGGGTATTTTCTGGAACTTCTGGAAGATTCTGTTTGGCTTATCGTTTTGGTACATTGGAGAAGATGATCTAAGAGATGATCAGCTGTAGAGATCCATATGGTTATTGTTGTGGTCTTGAGTTAAAATTTGAGTTGGGCCTTAATGTGGTTTGGACTTTTAAACTTTGAATCAAACATCTTGATCTAGTAATGGCCCATCACTGCTGCTACTTAAGAATTAGCCAATGTATTCTGAATTTCGATTTTTCAGTTTAATTCTTCGAACTCCGATTCAACTTTGTCACGTTCTTCCGAACATTTCTTACCCAGTGTTACTTCAGTTTAACTTTCGCAAAAAAATTAATTTTCTCGTTAAAGTTTTTTCGGAATTAAGGTTTATAAGTTGTTATTGTTATTGTTGTATTTACCGTGAAATTTGAAGTTTATATTACGTCTTTAGTCTGGTTAAGGATGTGTATGTCAATGTATGAATAAATATAAAGGATGTGTATGTCAATGTACTGCTTTGATCATTAATTAATTCACTAAGCTAACAAAAGACTAATGCTTACTAGATGACCTTTACCGTAAGAATGGATAATAATTTCGAGATAAAATTTTGAATCATATTAATCCCAAGTTTGGTTATACTATTATAGTTAATTTTGGGATAAATTTTATATTATAATGGTGGGATTGATATGGAATAGTTAATCCTATGGAATATTTCATTATTATACCAAAGGACCTCCAAGTATATTAGACATATAATCACTTAAGTATTTTAGAGAGAAATCCTAGTATTAGATAACCCTCAAATACGGAGTACATACCAAACACATCGGTAATGTATTTAATTTTCTCTTTGAGGGTTTGTATCTTTGGATATTATTGTGTGTAGTTGACTAGAAAGCATATTAACAAGGGAAGCATCCATGAAAACAAGACATTAAATTTCAAGATTTTGAAAAAACAAAGAAGAGCAAATAATTAATCTCGATTACCACTAATAAAAGATTGTGGTTGGGATGAATAGAATCTCTTCACTCTTAATAGGAGTTCTTGTGTTTAGGCCTTGGGAATAAAAAACAATTCTTATAGAGAATGCATCCTCCTTTTATGGGCCTTATTTGATTCTGAATTAGTCGGGCTACAATACGTGTACACAATACTAAAAACTAAAAAGGAAAATGAAGTCTCGAGATCACTACATTCAGCGGCGTATCTAGGGGGTTCCATGGGGCACGTGAACTCATGCTCCTCGCCCTAAATCATGTATAGTAATATTATATTTTTTCAAAAATATTTAAATAGATGTGTGTGCACTCATGCTCAAAGTATTATATTGTGTGATGGTTATTGAGTGTACCTCTCTAGGTGAGGTTGTGAGTTCAAATCTTATGTCAATCTTGTTGTTTTTTCCTCTCTTTTTTCTAAAAGTAGACGCCCACGGGAGATGAGCGTGTCTGATGTTATTTTTTGCGTATTAATTAAGTACTTTTCTTTTTATTTCTTTTTTTGTTTAGTTTATTCTTTCAAAATTTTCACACATTGAAATTTTTTTTCTTCTTTTGTCGCCGTAAAATCTTATATGATTAACAAAATGTGTATATTAAAACTAGTAGCAGTGTATGATGTAACATATAGTCAATGAGTTCAACTGATCTCAATATTTTCAGCATGAAAAATAGATATAGATGTAAGAAAATTACTATTTTAAAAAATATTGAACTTATAATTCCAAAAGTGCAATGGGTACGCAATCGTAAGAACTAAAGGTTGAACCCATAAAATTTATATTCTGGATCCATGTCTTCTTAATAGTGCACCTATCCTGCCAAAATCCTGGATCCGCCTCTGACTACATTCGTTCATATATACCAAGTTAAATTAATTCCTTATTTTTTAGACCGAGCTATCATCGAGTCAAAAAGCATACACCATATGAATTTGTGTTTTGTCTTATACAATATTTTGTGTGATTGCCTAAGATGTCATATATCGTCCTTCCTCGGAAGCTTGATAGCTTAGAAGACTGCCAGTTCTTCTCCTTGACCCCGGGATACGACCTCTGTCATGGCATGTATTTATCTTATTTGATCAATTAAGTTATTACGTTTAACAAATATTGAAGGCTAAAATCTAATTAACAATTTAAAGTTATATAGAGGGGTCTTCCGAAATAAATATTAGGTAATTTCTCATTTGAGGGAAGGTGAGATATATACGAAACCTTTCAAAAAGCTGGTTTTCTACCTCTAAATCTCTAATCCTCACATTTTATTCATAAAAACCCAAATTGAAGGAAATTTCAAAAGGGATAAACGCAGTTTCTCTAATTTAAGCGAAGAGAAATGGATTCGATTAATTCAGATTCACACCGCAAAGATCTCACTCTCAACTTGAGATTTCTCTATTTTTATCAGTCAAGCCCGAGAACTCTGATTAGAGTGAAAGGATCTCATTTATCTCAACACACCATTTGGTAATTTGTTAGTGCATATTTAAAAATAATGAAGTTTCACGATTTACGTCCGATTGTCGATATCTAAGAATATAAAAAAACCTAACGACCTAAATATAAGAAGGTGACATGTTGATTAAGAAGCAGTCATATTCATGATTTCATAACCTAAATATATTGCACTTGTATCTTGCTTTCTCGTGTAGTGATCACAACATAGGAACATGCATATTTATTTTGGGCATAAAATCATAATCATCGAAAAGATAGTTTCATATTATACCTGATGTTTGGTTATAATTACATATTTTTAGTGCATTACTTACCTTAAATTTTGGGGTTTTAATGCTAAACTATACTATATTTGTGCTTAATTGAGTCTATTTTATGTGTAGGTAACTTGGAGATGAAAGTAGAAGAAAAAGGATACCTACAAGTCAAAAGCATGCGCAAGAGCAGTGGATGAGAGAACCTGGCGACGCCAGGCTTGAAGCTGGCTTTAGGCTGGCTTTGCAAGGCTAAAGCCAAGCTGAGGCTGGTGACACCAAGCTAAAGCCAGGCTGAGGCTGGCATTAGGCTGGCGACACCAAGCAAAAGCCAGGCTGAGGCTGGCGTTAGGCTGGCGACTCCAGGCTTGGGGCCAGGTCCAATCCGAGTTTTGAAGACTTAATTCGTTTTCGGGTTTGACTAGGACTTGTCTTACATGTTTAGGTCTTTTCGTACACATATAAATAGACCTAAAAATGAGTTTTAGAGGGGAAAGAGAACATACCGGGGGAGAGAACATACCGGGAGAAGACACAACTTTGAGAGAAGAGGGGAGGCGCCAAACACTCGGGAGCAAGGATTTGATCAATTCTTCCATCCCTTCCCTAGTACTCATTGATTTTATGTTTGAAAATATTATTTTGATGATTGTATGAACATGAGTGGCTAAGAACCCTATTGTTCTAGGGTCATGAGTATACGTGAATTTTGACGTTTGAAGTTTAATTTGACGAAGTTGATTTTATCATATTGGGATGTTTATTTAATTCTGTTTTTAATTATTTTGCCGAGTAGCTAACAGTGAAATATTATCTACGAATCAAGAGTTGAATTCGAAAGTGAGAATTCTAGATTGCATATAGAATTAAATAGAGCAAGTTCTTAAACCCGGGCATCGGGGAACTGATTCGCAATTAGGATAGACATATACCTAATTGCCTTGCTCGGTTGTAATACAGGAATTGTAAATGCGTTCTTGTTAATCTTAATTCCATAGACATATAGGTATTAAGTTAGCTTGAATAGGCGAGTAAGGACTCGACAGATTCTTATGAGTAATATCAATTCTGTCAATCAACAATCCAGATAAATCAATTAGTTATTTTAAGCTAAGAATGCAACATGATTGTTAGATAACCCGTGACCCTGGAATATTATCTCCTATTGATTGTTATTCAAAACTATTTAAGTGTTGTGGTTGATTTCTAGTATTTCATTACTTGATAGTTTTTAGGTAGTAAATTAGAAAATTATCTATTTTGTAAGAAATCGCTTGAATCGATAAGCTATTTAAGTTTGAATTAGTCAAAAGTGAATCATAAGTCTTCGTGGGAACGATACTCTACTCACTACTCTATTACTTGACGACCACGTATACTTGCGTGTGTGTTTGGCCACAACAAGTTTTTGCCGTCGTTGTCGGGGACTTAGAAATTAGCTACTTGACTGAGTTAAGCTTTTTATTAGTTATTTGTTCAAGCTCTAATTTTCAGTTTACCTTGTTTGTGTTAACGCATGCTCTTCTCTTGAATACGGAGGAGTAGAAGCACAAACAATCTCCTTCCTCTTGATCCTGAAATTGAACGAACACTTCACAGAGTGAGGAGGGAAGTCGAAGCAAGAACTAGAATAGAAGGAGAGTTGGACATCGTAGTTCAATCACAGCCAACAGAGATGGCAGGTAATGAAGAGCGTGCGGTAATAAAAGCCGCAAGGCCCAATCTTGCTAATATGACTCAGGTTATTGTGAAGCCTGATATCACGGGGCGTTTTGAACTCAAACAATACATGGTACAACTGATTCAGTCCACAGGGCAATATATGGGTCTATCTCATGAAGACCCGCAAAGGCACATTCAGAATTTCCTGAAAATTACGGACATATATAATTATCCGAACGTTTCCAAGGACTATGTGAGTCTGACACTATTTCCCTTTTCACTGTTGGGGGAAGCTAAGGAATGGTTGCAAAAGGAGCCCGCGAACTCAATCCATACTTGGGATGATCTAGCAAGGAAATTCTTAATCAAGTTTTTCCCCACTAAGAAGACAAAGTCGCTGAGGAGCCAAATTCTTGGGTTCCAACAACGAGATAGAGAGACACTTCATCAAGCTTGGGAAAGAAACAAGAAGCTACTCAGAGACTGCCCGAATCATTATCAAACTGATGAGGCATTGGGTCACACATTTGTTGATAGGCTAGATGAGGCATCAAAGATAAATCTTGATTCAGCTTGTAGAGGTAGTTGCATGGCGAGGCCGTATAGTGAAATACAACTCTTGCTAAATAACTTCACTGCTAATGACCATAATTGGCAAGGAGATAGGGACTCACGAAGAGCAATTAAGCAGAAG